AACACATATATATCTCCTTAGATTAGCATTGCATTCAATAGCTCATTCCATGTGTCAGGCACACCGGGCAAACACCAATGGCTACAATCACATTTCTTATCTTTCAATTGCTGCTTTTCCTTTTCGTGATAAACCGAAGGATGGCCGTCCCTTCTAAGAGCCGTCAATGAAGTTATGTTCTGAATTTTGACCGGAAATTTCATTCTCCTCACAACTTTCTGCAACACCACCAACTGCTCGGGCACGTGTGGTCCGCTCAAATATTCCAATGGCTCTTTCTGATTATGACAACTCCACCCATTTTCCCTGCAAATCATTATTATTATTATTATTGTTATTATTATTATTATTATTAATTATTATTATTATTATTATTATTTGTTGGACCTGTTATGTCTAGGTGACATGCTTCTGAAAAAGACTTTGGTTCTACTTGGATTAAGATTCAAATCTATCCAGTTAGCCCATGTTGTGAGTCCTGTCCAGTAAGCAATTATTGGGTTTATGTCTTTGTACACATTATTGCCCTCCATCACTAAATCCCATCTGCACGAAGTTAAGTATAGTGACTAGTGAAATTAAGCAAAATGCAGAAGAACACATATATACTAATTAATTAATCAATTATGTCCTAAAAGAATCTCCATACGAGCGCCATTTTTCAGAATGAGTCCACCAATGAGCCGAATCAAACACGAGCACGTCCACTCCTCTCCAGTGTTTGGCGTTATCCTCGATCAAATCCAAGTGCAAAATTCTCTTCCCATTTTGCCCTTTTCTCAACTCCACTAGCAAAGGAGCCCAACAAAACTCAATTGACATCTCATAGTCCTGCAAAAAATTGATATATATATATATATATATATATAGGATGTGGTTCAAATGAGCTATATATATATATATATATATTGTTCCAACTACTCATAACATATAACAAAATAGTGTCATTAATTCTACATCACTTCTCTCCACTCACTAAAGCAAGAAAGGCCATTGTTGGACCATTGTAAATAACCGTCTTCCTTGCCATTGGCACTACGGATTGAACTAAGCAAACGAGAGACTCCCATTGATTTCTAATTATAGAATCACCAACCAGCATTATCCTTTTCCTTCTCATCTTTCCAAGAAAATCCAGTGCACTAAACCTGCACTAGTAATCACTTGTAGTTAAAAAAACAAATGAAAAAAAAAAAATATGAAAGAAAGTTAGCTAGCTTACTTAACAAAATTAACAACATTATTAATATTAGTACCTTGGGATTGAGCAACCATTAGGCTTCCATCTCCACTTTTCGTAATCGGAATCTGGCCTCCCGTTTTCTTGACAAGTAACGGCGGAACTAAGGTACGGACAAGTGTCGGAATTATAGAGAGGGTAACTTTGATCATAAACCCATTTTCCTTTAGTGTAATCGCAAGTCTCACGAGAAGACTGTGTCCTTTCGGCTATGCTTATTTCATCGTCTAGCCACTTAAGCTCATCCTGAACATATTCGAAAGATTTAGTATAAGAGGTACAGCAGAGGAAGAGGGAAAGAACAAAGAAGAGGGAGAGAGACGAGTGTTTGCTTTGCGCCATTTGCAGTCTAAAAGTGGAATTCCTTGTTTAGAGGAATATATAATATAATGGTTGTCTGCAAATTTTGGTGCGTTATATTATAAGCAGGCATGTGTTAGAAAAGTGAGTTTTGGTACTTTAATTAAGGCGTGAGTGGCGGTATATAGGTTATGCATGGGGCCTTACCTTATTTTGAGTTGAATGTGATAGGTAAATATTTTTCTTTTTTTTTTTAAACTAAATATTAAATTTTTTTACAGTTGAATGTGATAGGTATTGCCCATGTATGTTAGAAAGACAATTACCATAATTAATGTGTTTTTAGAGTATTTTAGTGGAATGTCTCTACACTTAATATGACTTTGATCTTAGAAAAGAAAAAATTATTTTCATGAATGAATATCGAACATTGGAATCCCAAGGTTCAGGCCTACATGTAAGTTTACTTACTAATGATCACTACAATAAATTTTAGTATATTTTAGAAATTTTAATACGCAATCCGTTGGATGCACACTGCAATAATAACAGACCAAATAAATTAAAGTAATGAATGAATATTAATAAATATAAAAATAATTCTGAATATTGATACGAATTTTTATGTCTTCTTTTATTTTTATGATCTATAATTGTTTAATGTATTGAAGCTATTGTAGGCTGAAAATAAAAATAATTGCAAAACATAATGTAAGTAACGCAGTGTTCCATATAGGGAAAATGAAAGCAAATAATGTCCGATGACGAATCATACACAAGGAATAAAAATTATTATTGCACTCTCAATTTAACTCCAAATTCTATTTAATTCGTTTTTCTATTATTGTTCGATTTATATCTCCGAAATTAAGATACAACGTCCGTTGTGGCTCATCACAAACCACTAGCAGGATCTCATAAGAGAAATGAAACCTTTCACTTTTCATGCTCGGAGATTTCATCCAAATAAACCGTCATCAACCGAAAGTCAAGTGTTCAACAAGATTATAGGTAACCAAAATTTAGAATATATTTCAGCTCAATCATTCAACTCGGCTTTAATGTCGTGGCATGGTGCATGGAGTTTGGGACTCCTAACGTTGATAAAAATTGCATAAGCAGCCCGAATTAAACTTTTGTTCACAAACTTTCAGCACTAAGCCCACTGTCCTTATGTAGCAAATCAAACCGACGCATAGGAAGAGAATACAAACGTGAAGGGCATATAAAAGGCTTTTTCAGCCTACAATATTAATTGGTGTGAAATGAAATGATCCAATCATGGCATCATTAGCCAAGCCCGGTTACTTATCCCGGGCTAAACAACATAAAGAATAATACTTTTCAATGAGCCAAATCACCATAATTCGTAACAAAGGGAGTGAGCATCCTCATTTGCTCTAACAAAATGACAAAAATTATAGAAAACTCACAGTTTGAGATACGGAGCCAAGAAATTGGTCAACGAGAGTAAGCAATCCTCACATTTTGGTGCTTGTTATACCAATTCTTCATTTCTCCAATAAATGCCGAATCTCGTTGAAAAATTCATGTAACTCAAACTCTGGCTGTGCATAAGTTTTTCAATCAACTTTGTCTGTCGTATAACCCCAAAAATTTTTGCCCCAAGCCAGTGAATGAATAACATAATAGAAGCTCTTTAATTTAACAAGGCTCATGAATTTTATACCTTGATCTCAGATATTATTTTCTATCCACTCGTTTCCTCTTTTTTCTTATTTCAGCAGTGATTGAAATCCCAGATCCAGATGCAGCAAAGAGTCTAAGTTTTTCAATTATCCTTCTCTCGCTAACACGCAGTATTAAAGAGTGAAACAATTTAGGGTCAGTCGCTTGACAACACTCATTAAGTGATTTTATGTCTTCTTCCAGGGATTTTGGGCCGTATAACCTTTCCCTAGCATCTGCTAGTGAAGAAAGAGCTCGGCAAACATCTTGAGTAAGTAAAACTTTCTTATTAGCTTCTAAAACTTTGGTCAACAGAAAGTTCTCCTTTGTCAGCAAGCCGAAGGATGAATCATTTCTAACCTTGCCCATGGCAGATAATGCAAGATCAAGTTCAAGAAAATCCTCCTCAGTTAACAACATGATATAAAGTAAAACTAATAACTCCACCTGAGGTTCCCCGTCAATGGATATCTCGAAATACTCGGAATCTTGACTGACACATCCGCAATAATCCAACTTTTTCCAGAATGATAACCTTTTCCGACTCTGACGGCATGAAAACAAAGATAAACTCCACTGAACTACTATATCTAAATCTATATTCACAATGTCAAATGGATTATCTGCTTCTGTAAATCCATATCTATGCAGAAGGGCAGCGTTCCCCAAATGTCCATATGTGTTGAACACCTGAAATAATGTCAACAGTGTAAAAGATTATTCAGAACCAATTAATATTGCTATATCAAATATTTACCCATGCAGTAAAACAAGTTTTGTGCATACTAATGGAAAATAGCCTTCATTTCCATCCAAAAGTAAAAAAGAAAAAAAAAATTACAATGAGCAAACAAAAATTGCAGGGAAAGTCTTCACCTCAGCTCCAGCTTTGACATCTTTAATGATAATCATTTCCATATATGTAGATTCATCTCCAGCTACAGAAGAAATTTCCAGGTCGCTCTGGCTTAAATCTTCTATTTCGGCATGAAAATCAGGAGCAGTGGGCTCATCATCTATGTCATTTCCGTCATATTCATTTTCCTTTCTGCTTTCAATGTCTTTATCAGATTCAGAAATAGAATCTAGAGACGTGAAATGAACATCCTCAGCAGCCGTCTTGTGATTAAAACTGCCATTACAAAAGACTTGATCACTAAAAACCTAACCAAACCTGAGAAATAACAACCAAAAGAACAGATCTGGACCATCCAAGCCAGTTCTACCAGAAAGTGACAACTCAAGCATTTAGATATACAATATATAACCGTGCTGAAAAAAGGAGTGGGGGAACGAAAATTCAGAAACAATCTGTGGTTCAGAATTTGGCTTTTTTGGTGTCAAACTAGTTGAGAGCGTGTTTTTCTCAAGAAGATAGACTTAACAAGATGTCCTGGTGTATGGGGTTCTAGAGGAGATGCTTTGTGGGAAACCACCGGAAGCAATTTGGTGGCGAATTGTGATTTGGGTAGAGAACTATACCAAAGAAAAGATACATTGGCTGGAGTGGTGGTGGATCACTCACTTGAAAGGTAGCGACCGGAGATGGTGATACAGACATTATGATACAGTTATTGGAGTTAACTTCTTCATTTCAAGCAATAATTAAAAAAATCATTTAAAAAATAATCAATATCCAGCTGCCTTATATAGTCTAAATCCTTAATTATACCACGAGATGGCATTTCGAACATAGGTATATAGTACAATCAACACAAAGGAAAGTACACGTCTAAACAAGTTCCTAACATCCAGACGAATAAAGCAGTTGTTTCTGTCTAATGTGCAAGTACGCCAAAAAACTTAAATGATATGTCACTTTGCTTACTAAATGAAACAAGATAGCTTTTAGCGATCCCCTAACCAGTATGTCGTGTCTGGGGCCATAGTTCATCGAATAATAACTGGCGCAATTGGTGAATTGCATTTTATAGTTATAACACAGAAGCCATCAGTAGGAGTTCAGGTAAACTTACAGGTCAGCCAAAGGGACCATGCCAAAACCATGGAATTCGTCTATTTCAAATGATCGTGATGCAACTAGACTCTTTGCAGCCAAATATTCATCTACTGTGAAAAAATCTGGATTTAGCTCAAAAGATGCCATATCCAAAATGGGTTGGATACACTCCTTCCAGTCTTGATAGACCAAAGCTTTGTCTTCCTTAACTGTCTGCCTACATATAACATCACATAAGCATACAGAAACCTTATTAAAGCTTAACCGTTACAAACACAGAGAGGACTAGTCAAGTAGTCATATAAATGAGCAGCTCGGTTTATAAGTTATTTAAACAGCTAAATTGAAGTGAAGAGGTCAGCTAAGTTTAGAACATGTTGAGTCCTGCATCACCAGTGCCTACAACTCAACTCAAATTTAAGCACAGCAACTAACAGAGGCAAATACACACAATGTGCACAACACATTCAATTAGGTGAAGGAAGAATAGTGAGAGAGACTTGACCTTGTGTAGCTCGGTGCCCGAGAGAAGAGAGTCGATTTCGGGGAGCGACCACAGCAAGGGGATGGGCTCGAAGGGAGGCAGAATCTGCAAGTATTCAAACCACTTGGATTGCGGTCCAAGGCTTTTCTCGTACATGATTGCAACGGCTAGGCCCAAATATCCACCGAGCTCAGCCTCATCAATTAGATGGTTGGCGGCGGAGGTCCTGACGGTCAGGCAACTCTGTTTCGGAATCGTGGCAACGACGTCGCCTTCTTTGAGATCACAAAGAGCCTTCACGGAGGTAGACGGTGGACGGGAGGCGTCGCTATTTTCCGTCGAGATGAGGAGAGCATCGCTGCAATCTATGCCTTGATGTTTCATCCACCGTATGAACGCTCTCATTCTTCTGTCGCTACATAAAAATGGAAGTTACTGTTAGTATTATCGTTCGCAGCAGAAAGTCAGAGGCAGCGAGTGACGATAGAGGCGGCCGAGCACTACCTGGCGGCGGCCATTGTAGTACGGTGTACCAGTGTGGACGGCGAGATGCTAAATGCAAAGGAAGTAACGAGAAAGTTGACCCAGGAAGAAAAAGGCCCATTGGGCTTTTCTGATTTGGTAACGTTTAAAAAGTTTTTGCTTTTAATTGCAACTAGTATCATGCCAGTTGAAAGGTGGAGTTCCCCTAGTAGGATTTTTCTTTTTGTAGAGAGTTTGTTCCTCGTGTAAGATTGGGTGTGTTTATAGGGTTTCTTCTTCATCCTTTCTCCTTTGCTTCTTCTTCCCTACTTGTGTTTTTTGTTGGGTCAACTTGGTGGAGTCGTGAGTGGTTTTTGCCCTTTCTTACTATTAC